TAAGGCCAATAATCTTAGGCGGCGATCTTCACGGTCTGGTGTTCTACGGCGGCGTCCAGTGCCCCTTGCGCTTTGCATACGTCCTTCTCGAAGCCATGCCTGACAACACCTAACCACAGTGTCTACACTTCTTTGCACTCTAACTGCAATTGCCCAAAAATAAAGTCCAGCTTCCCGAAGTCCCACTATACGGCCCCTATCAAACTCACTAAGTTGACGAAATCGTACAGGTCTCCGTACTCTAGGCATCGTAACCGATCGTAAAGGATGTCAAGAACCAAAATCCGCCAACGTTGATTCTTTACTGAGGCTCAAGTATTCATTTTTAGAGCATTAGTGAATTAAAAAAAAGCAGTATAAAAACCGGAATGTCCAACTGATAAGGCTGAAAATTTTTTCACTAGTTATTTACAGTAAGATAAATACATTCATCAACTTTTATTAAAATAATACCATTTAAACTGGGTGTTCGGATTTATATGTCACTTAGTATAGAATACCTTAAGGAAAAGGAGCTTTGAAAATCATAACACACTTAATTTTTTGATCTGTTATGGTGACAGTGACAGAAAGATGTTTGACAGGTTTCCGTGTCTGGTAAGTACTCTGAAATACAACATTCTCATCAATATACGGTAGTACGATAAAAATCTACTTAATTACATATGAAACAGAAACCATAAAACACCGTGCAGTTACGATGCAAACGTATCTATTTTTATCGGATATTCATCAATGCTCATTATACATTAGTCAGGGGCTAGGCTATGAACTTGGGCCGTTTAGCGGAATTAGATTCATTGTTCTTTGTTTTCACAATATCTTCATCGAAATTAGCTTTTTGCAACAAATGATTTCTGGTTCCAGTGTCGTTGAGAGAACATTAACAGTTTTTTAAAACTCCAAAAACATATTTTTCGATCTGGGAAGGGTGTTTCCGAATGTCGAATGGTTAATGTCGCATGCAATATAGCTAATATGTCACACGATAATTGATTAATTCTCACAAACAGCGTTCTTCATTCGACAAAATGACTTATGACAAATGACGATGGTTTTTTCACTCGCCTGCTGCGCAGGCAGAATCCTAAATGCCATGGCACCGCGGCTTCTATGAAGAGCTTAAAGAAACTCTATTAATCCGGTTTTTGAGCTGTCCAAGGTTAGTAGAACTGTAGAAACTGTAGAAACCTCAAGTAGATTGTCCCGCAATCTCGGTACCCTAGGGACAAATAAGAGAATGTAGTCGGGGTGGTAGAACCCCAAACCAAACCAAACATTAAGGTAGCATGTAGTAACGCTACATCAACAAAATTTTTACAGTTAATAGCTGATAAGGTATAGAGGTTTTTAGGATATAAGTAAATGGGAAAACATGCTTTTTTTAAATAAGCGTTTAAAGATTGCTGGTCTTTTTTACCTATTTCTTATGCGTCATATTTTGTTTAATTTTAAATCGTTGTATTGATTACCCGACAAGCTTAGAAAAGCCTTAGCGTCTTAGCTAAATAATACATAACAAAGCAGGCATTTATTTCACGTATTTATGAAGTTATGAGTTAAAAAATCTTGGAAGTTCATGAAGGATTGCGTTCGGTAAAAGTTAGCTCCTATGAGAAAAAAGCTAGCTACGAATATGTGAAGGGTGTTTCAATAAGGACGCAATATTTCAAGGTTCTATTAAGCATGGTATTTCGTAACAAACAACTGAAATATTTATTGGATTATGGTGTATACACTTGGAATTATGTATGAAACAACACATCAGGTAAATGGCTGCCACGGCTCCGCTGGCACTTTCGCACTCGTTTAATAAAATTTGAACACATGTCGTGGTATCTCCTTGATACAGCATTGCTGGTCTTTTTTACCTATTTCTTATGCGTCATATTTTGTTTAATTTTAAATCGTTGTATTGATTACCCGACAAGCTTAGAAAAGCCTTAGCGTCTTAGCTAAATAATACATAACAAAGCAGGCATTTATTTCACGTATTTATGAAGTTATGAGTTAAAAAATCTTGGAAGTTCATGAAGGATTGCGTTCGGTAAAAGTTAGCTCCTATGAGAAAAAAGCTAGCTACGAATATGTGAAGGGTGTTTCAATAAGGACGCAATATTTCAAGGTTCTATTAAGCATGGTATTTCGTAACAAACAACTGAAATATTTATTGGATTATGGTGTATACACTTGGAATTATGTATGAAACAACACATCAGGTAAATGGCTGCCACGGCTCCGCTGGCACTTTCGCACTCGTTTAATAAAATTTGAACACATGTCGTGGTATCTCCTTGATACAGCATCTGATTTCACCTGCCAGTGTCTCGCTGGTTGCAGGCTTGTTGGCATAAACTTGTGACTTCAGATAACCCCAAATCCAAAAGTCCAAAGGTGTTAAATCGTAAGAGCGTGGTGGCCAATTCTTGTCACCAAACCGGGAGATGGCTCGACCAGGAGCAAACTTGTGCAAAACTGCCAATGTTTCATAAGCATCCTGCTGAAACCATTTGTCATTAAAGGCCATGACTTCTAATTGTGGCACAAAAAATGAGCAACACGAGAACGTTCCCCATTCACTGTTAATGGATTACCCGCCTCGTTCTCAAAGAGAAACGGTCCAATAATTCTTCCAGACCATAATGCACACCAAACAGTGACACGTTTTGGGTGCTTAGCTTTCTCATGACTTACTATTGGATTCTGTGTACCACAAATGCGTCTATTGGCGCAGCCATGGAGATGAAAATGGGCCTCATCGCTAAAAATGATTTTGTCTACAAAATCACAATTCACATACTGTTGGCCAAGGATCCTATTGCTAAACTCTCTTCGCTGTGCATGGTCTGTTGGCATAAGCTGTTGAGTCAATTGAACTTTGTAGCCATGCAGGTGTGAATATTTTGTTAGAATACGCTGGAGAGTGGCAGTTTTAATGTCCAATTCTTAAGCGCGATGACGATTCGATGTCCCTGGACTCTCGGCTAGATTTTCGCGAACATTTTCTTCTGAACGACCGCTGCGAGCTCGTCTCGTATGTTTCACATCATTAACAGAACCAGTACTTTGAAATTTTTGAATTATTCTTTTCACAGTGGATGGCGTAGGAACATTATTCCGACCGAATATTAGTTGCACTTTCCGAATCGTGGCAACTAAACTTTCACCACTTTGGTAATAATTTTTAACAATTAGGACACCCTGTTCTATTGGGTAATGACTCGTTTTCATAAACTCCCGCTTGTCTACCATCGATCTGTCATGTCACAATCATTATGACGTTATGACTGCCAGAATGGCGCTGAATTCAAATATTGCGTTCTTATTTATACACCCTTTATAACAAAAAAATTGGATGAATCAAGTCAGTCAAAGAGGCTCGGTGAGCAAGACGCACCTTGTGCTTTTCATTATAATTAATTCTTGAGTAGTGTGCTGCTCCCCCTCCCTCCAGTCGAAATGGAAATCTGCAAACTTTACGAACTTGTACGATTATTTCTCGCGACGTATCTGGCAACTTAAGCATATGAGGAGATTTTCCCCCAAATTTGGGTGATTCTTTCTTTCCTCGAGCATTTTTGGGGGATAAAATACTTGGGGATTTTTTGGGGAGAAAACAAAACTTTTGGGTATTTTTGAGGTGTTTTATTCCATTTTTATCTCTATATTCCAACTACCACTAAGGCCTAACGCCTAAACACCCATTGGGTACCGTGCATGCAACATGCACACATTCCAGCTCCGCCTACGAGATCCGCCGGGTGGTACCTCCACGTTCGACAGTCAGAGACCATCTACCACCTACGGACAATCACAACATCCATAGCCAAGAGAAAAATTTCTCCTGGAACGGGACTCGAACCCGCACAGCGCACGGCGACTGATCAGAAGACCGAAGAGTCTACTACTGCGGCCACTGCTGCTGCCTCACATAACTGAAACTTCTGAATAACATTTTTATCTTTATGGTGCCTTTTCTTCCTTCATGGTCGCACTCGCACCTATCTCCATAAACACCTACAGTATTAATTGTAAGTTGGCAGAACTGAACCATAGTCATAAAATAGAAAAAAGCAGAATAGATGTGAACAGGCCGGTTGATCTAGCTATTTTAGTGTTTCGAGAGAAATAACTAGATGGTGATAGTTCACGAATAACATGTTTTTATAAAGTTATAAATCACACGTTGTTCTGGGAAAATTCTATCTTACCTATCTGGCAACGCTGCGAATAGCGGAGGAAAACCGCTTCACGAATGGAACGAACGGACAGCGAAACAACACGTGTTTCCGAAATATTTCTCTATTGTTTTGAGCTTTAAGCATAAATGTACGGGGAAATCTATGATAAGCCATAACGCATATAAGTATACCAAAGTAAAAAAATCGAGATATGCCCTCCTGCGCCCCCCATAACCTCCCATCCCGAATTTTTCATCCCGAAATTGAAAAAGAAGTGACCAGGATCCTCTAAAACGTCAAAAAACAAAGCTATTGTGCCTCAACTATTTTTGCTCGTAGTTACGCCGACACTAAATCGACTTTCAAAACCTATAGAGCTTTTTCAATTTTGGCATAGTTGTAACTTTGTATGAAAATTTCATCAAAAACCCTCTTCACAATCGCATCTCATGACTTTTTGTAATGTATATATCAAAGAACGTCAAAAAACATAAGACTTAATATTGCAGTGCCGCAGGAAGTAAAAACCGGATACCTAGGGGTCATTCGGTCTCCACTTGGCCTTCCGACTATCAGTTCATTTTGAGACACTCTGTACACGTGTCTGGTTGCATTTCGGGAAACGGATCAACCTACTTGATGCATCATTTGTTCAGAATTACCCAATAATCTCAAAGAAGGTCTCTCTGGTGTAAAAGATGAATTTTACAATAAATTCAAGCTCATAACCCGGACTAATTTATCTAGATACAAGCAGCTTGCCCTAGGTCGACGTTGCGCGTGTGCGGGGACATCGAACGAACTGCCGCTGAACGACTCCGCATCATCGCGCACGTAAACATCCAATTTTCATCTGGGAAATCGCGACAAACATGTCCAAATTTTCGATTTTCCCACAATTCACACTCCTCACCTGCTACCTTACTAAACGAATTTCCCAGAAACATCGAAAATGCTGATCAATCAGCGCTTGTCACGCCTTCATGTTTCGATAAAATTTAAAACAATTTCTACGGTTTATAAACAAATTTGCAATAAGTTAAACAAATAAGGGGACATGGAAGCGTGTTGCGTGTTTTTCGCGTGCACCAGTTTCGTTTTAGGCCTGTTTTTGATGTTCGAGTTCCACTATTTCGTGAGGTCGTTGTTTTGTGTGCTAGGGGCGAGGATTTGTAAGAAGAAGGTGCATATTTTGGATGAAACTCAAATCAGCGGTGAGTTGATTATTATATGTACAGGGTTAAAATTAGTAGTGGATCAACGGAAGTCAGATGATAGAGGGCCTCAAAACATATCGAATGAACCCCTATATGTGTGGTCCGAAATTTTATAGTTAAGGAGATATTTGCAATTTTGTGAAATTGCGTAAAAAACGGGATAATGGACTTTCAATCGTAATTACAACTAAAGCATTGAGTTTAGGGCTGTGATTTTTTTTTTGAGATGAGCTAAATGGTTAGTTTCAGCTATGGTCATGTCACTTTTTGACAGAGATAATTAGAAATCAACGTAAAAAATCTTAAACTCTTTGGAGGGCAGTAAAAAAGATTGAGGTTGTATTTGATTATTCATTTTATTGTAAAAACTATCTCAGTCTCTGTAGAATAAACCCTGAAAATTTCAGCTTGCTATGATAAGCGCCTCACCTTAAAAAATCTGTATGTTTGACGCAGGTGGGTATCTATTCATGTAAACAAGAAATTCTATTTTACGAGCTACAGTCCAAATCGCTTGATAGATTTTGACATATGAGGTACTGTTAGGTTCGTCCTAGTACATTTTTTACGTTAATAGCCAAATCAGCTAAATGGACATTCAACTCGGCATTCTAGCGTACAGTTTACAGACCTCGTACACATAAAAGAGTCAAGAGAAGATACTAAATGTACTTCGAAAGCTTCGACATCAGCAAAACCTAGTTTTCTATGTTTTATACAGGGTGTTCCTTAATTATATGCGAATATTTAAGGATTTGAATCTACATGAATAATTAATGTTAGTTTGCTTTATAAACTATGCTCCAAAAATGTTTCCTTACAAAAACTCGGGGTGTTAAAGTATTAGGAAAAAAATGGACACTAATTAATATTTTCAGAACCGCTTCAGATATTTCACTGATATTTAGTACGTGGTGAAATTTGATAATCTTGAATATTTTTCAATGCAAAAATAATTTTTAGCTTTAACAGTGGCGTGCGTACGGGTATTCGATATTTTTTTGGAATGGTACGCCAATGAAAATTATTTTTGAATTCCCCGTTCAATTTAGAACAAATGACCTTTCCAGAATTGTTTTCCTTCATTGCGCCATTTTTGAGTAAAATATAAAAACCGTTCTATTGTCTAACTTGCAAAATTTTATTATTAATCTAATTGGAAAAATTAATAATAATAATAATAATAAATGTCTTTATTAATCAGCATACATCAGTGAGGCGAAGTTTAGCCAAATGGCTACTCTTACACTTAACCTCACTGTGTACGAAAGAGTAACACAGTTAAACTCGATACACAAACAAACAATAGTAATAATAAGAAAAAGAAACAAATGCACACTTGAACTATTAATATAATAATAATAATAAAGTGTCATAAAAATAAAACAAACCAACAACTCAAACACTGAGAGACGATTGCATCTCCAATAGCTGTTTTCCAACTGATTTCTTAAAAGAGAGTAAACTTTCTTGTTTGTTAGCCGCACTGACTGAATTGTAAAGCTCAACAGCATTATACGTGAAAGATCTCTGATATAATGAGGTGTAGTGAAGAGGAATATTGAACTGTTCATCATGACGTAACCTTCTTGAAATAAAATTCCTACGCGGAACTAACTTATTTGCAAGGTAAATAGGTCTCTTGGTAACGACTGTTTTATGTACAAAAACCAACATATGAAACTTGAAAAGATTATTGAGCTTCAGCCACCCCAGCTCACAGATCTTGGATGTAACATGGCTATACCTACGAAGGCCGAAAACAAAACGACAATAACAATTTTGAATTTTCTGCAATCTGGTTTTTGTTATGGAGTCAAGACAAGGATAAAACAGTATAAAACAGTAAAGCAGCTTAGACATAACTAAACTTTCCACCAATTTCTTTCTAGTCTTGAAATTGAGAATAGAACGATTGGAGTATAGGAGTCTTAGGCTTGCATATGTAGCTTTAGATATATTACTGACGTGGTGATGAAATCTAAGATTTACGTCTAAAGTAACACCTAGACTTTTTGCATGCGTGACGAGTGGAATATGGTCATTATTTACCCTCAAATCAATCATCCTTTCAAAATGCTCATAGCTGGTTTTGGGACAGAACAACACCGCAAAACTCTTGGTAGGATTGAGCTCCAAACAGTTAGCCTTGCAATAGTCAGTTATATTTACCAGATCTAAATTTATTTCATACGAAGCTTGATCCACATTAGTAGAGTCAAAAGTGAAGGTCAATTGTGTATCGTCTGCGTAAGTATGAATACTACAAAACTGTAATACACTATGCAAGTCAAAAATATAAACTAAATATAGTAAAGGACCAAGCACGGAACCCTGAGGAACACCAGAAGCAGCATCGGCACTAAGAGAAACTCCTTGTTTCTTGCGATTCGTTGCTTGCGATTATTTAAGTATGATTTAAAAAAGCAAAGAGGAACGTCAGATAGTCCGTAGTATTTTAATTTGGATAGAAGCATTTCGTGGTTAACCGTATCAAATGCCTTCGAGAAATCTAACAACACCAGCACAGTGTAAATATGATTGTCTAAGTTAGAGATAATCTCATCAGTTACGTGTAATAATGCAGATGTTGTGCTGTGACCACTACGGAAACCAGACTGACAATTTGGAAATATGTTGTACTCTTCAAAATATTTTACCAATTGCATATAAACAATTTTTTCCAATATCTTTGACAAGGCACACAATATACTAATGGGTCTCAAATCCGAATATTCTGTAGGATTATTATTCTTAGCCAGAGGACTTATAACAGCCTCTTTCCACAAACTTGGAAATACTCCTTTTTCTAAACAAAAATTGACGATATGTGTTAGATGAGGTAATACTTCAGGAATACACAAATTGATCATTCCTATGTTAATTCCATCACAACCAGTTGCTTGAGATTTGATGGAAATTATAATATCTAAAACATCTTCTTCAATTAAACACATTAGGGGTAATGAACAACAACAACTGGCAACATAAACATAACATTAAAACCAACGCAATGATTAAAAAAATTGCTGTAGATGGCCCCCTTCACTTGGTATGCATGCTTCCCGCCTTCTTCTCATGAAATTGCGCATTCGTTGAAATATCCCTGGAGTGTTTTTTATTCTATCACAAGCTGCTACCATTCTTTCTCTTAATTCCTCTACAGTGTTAATGGGACTTGTGTACACTAGTGCCTTAAGATAGCCCCACAAAAATAAATCTAAACTGTTGAGGTCTGGGCACCTTGGTGGCCATTCCTGGGGCCCACCGCGGCCAATCCAACGATAAACAGTTTTGTAAATAATGACGAACCGCTACACTGAAATGCGCTGGTGCACCATCATGCATGTACCACATATTGTTTCTTGTTACTAACGGAACATCATCGAGCAGGAAAGGCAACTGTTGTTGAAGAAAATTGAGGTAAGTCTGTCCGTCAAGTGTTCCCGGCAGAAAGAATGGGCGAATAAAGTGGTTGCCCATACGTTAACCGAGAACTGGTGTTGGAAATGGGTCGGTTACTTTATAGGGATTTTCTTCTGCCCACAAATGATTACTGTGTAAATTCTGAATGGCAAAAGGTCACATGCCTTGGAAAATCAATAGGAGGTAATGCCTGTACTCTTAAAATATGGTAAGGATATAACAAAAATCCACTAGAATTCTCAAACAATTTGATGGCAAATATTTAAGTTTCTAGCGATCTTCCTCGTATTCGTTTCAGGATGTTTTTCGACTTCGTGAAGCACTGCTCCCTCAATTTCAGGTGTTCTCACACTTTGAGGTCTACCTTCAGATGTTCCTTTTCGGACAGAACCAGTTTCAACAAGACGACGATGAATATTAGAAAAGGTGTGCCAAAGCACCATCGGCATATCTCTGGCGATAAATCCGTCTGGCTTGCTCACCATTAACGTCGGCAAGGCCATATACGTAATGCATTTCCGCCATTGCTGCATTTGAATAATTCACCATTATTAACAAGATTGTAAAAACTAAATAATGAAAAAGATGTCACAACGAATAGATTTGAATAACAGAGACTTGTCAGATGTCAAAAGCCAGTGACATGTTCCAGAGCAACAAGATATTTATTGCTAAATTGCATTCTTCAATTTTATTACATTAATTTTCCCGGACAATAGAACGGTTTTTATTTTTTTACTCAAAAATGGTGAATCGAAGGAAAACAATTCAAGAGAAATCATTTGTTTAAAATTGAACGGAGAATTTAAAAATAATTTTTATTTGGCAAAAAACTATTGGACTACCACTTTTTTCTTAAAAAATATCGAAGTAAATACTCGTACGCACTCCACTGTTAAAGCTAAAAATTATTTTTGCATTGAAAAATATGGAGCTGTATTAACTTTCACTACGTACTGAATATCAGCTGAATAGCTGAAGCGGTTCTGAAAATATTAATTAATTTCCATTTTTTTTCCTAAAACTTCAAGGGAACATTTTTGGACCATAGTTTATAAGGCAAACTAACATTAATTTTTCATGTAGATTCACACCTGTAAATATTCGTATATCAGTATTCATAATTCGAGTTTTTCCAAGTTTATTGATTTCTACATGAGGATAATTTATATCTCCCATGCTGTATATCTTCAGTAAAATTTATACAATTTTTACGGTCACATCTAACAATTATTGTTTTTTAATATATGATTTTCGAACAAATTAAACATACTTTCTAAGCTTCACGCGCCAGCGCATATAATGACGCAGCTTTCAAAAGGACAAAGAAAAACACAAGAATATCAGGCTGATGTAGCTGTATTTCTTGTTTCAATACATTTATGTACTCAGGACTGACAAATCTTATTTTCAATGCCTGAATGATATCGATCCTCATTCCACCTACTTCTCTACACTGTTATATGCGCCAAGAAGCTTTTACTCTTCAAATCGAGTTGTTTCGATCCAGTTAGGATTTTACATGCGTGAGTGCATGTGTGTAATATTCAATGTGACGCATTTATCTATCA